GACTGTACCTGGTAGTGTGTGGGATGTGTGAGATAGCATTAGGTAGTGTGTGAGATGTGTGAGATAGCATTAGGTAGTGTGTGAGATGTGTGAGATAGCACCTGGTAGTGTGTGAGATGTGTGAGACTGTACCTGGTAGTGTGTGAGATGTGTGAGACTGTACCTGGTAGTGTGTGGGATGTGTGAGATAGCATTAGGTAGTGTGTGAGATGTGTGAGATAGCACTAGGTAGTGTGTGAGATGTGTGAGACTGTACCTGGTAGTGTGTGGGATGTGTGAGATAGCACCTGGTAGTGTGTGAGATGTGTGAGACTGTACCTGGTAGTGTGTGAGATGTGTGAGATAGCACTAGGTAGTGTGTGAGATGTGTGAGATAGCACCTGGTAGTGTGTGAGATGTGTGAGATAGCACCTGGTAGTGTGTGAGATGTGTGAGACTGTACCTGGTAGTGTGTGGGATGTGTGAGACTGTACCTGGTAGTGTGTGAGATGTGTGAGACTGCACCTGGTAGTGTGTGAGATGTGTGAGACTGCACCTGGTAGTGTGTGAGATGTGTGAGATAGAACTAGGTAGTGTGTGGGATGTGTGAGACTGTACCTGGTAGTGTGTGAGATGTGTGAGATAGCACTAGGTAGTGTGTGAGATGTGTGAGACTGTACCTGGTAGTGTGTGGGATGTGTGAGATAGCACTAGGTAGTGTGTGAGATGTGTGAGACTGTACCTGGTAGTGTGTGGGATGTGTGAGATAGCACTAGGTAGTGTGTGGGATGTGTGAGACTGTACCTGGTAGTGTGTGAGATGTGTGAGACTGTACCTGGTAGTGTGTGAGATGTGTGAGATAGCACCAGGTAGTGTGTGGGATGTGTGAGACTGTACCTGGTAGTGTGTGAGATGTGTTAGACTGTACCTGGTAGTGTGTGAGATGTGTGAGACTGTACCTAGTAGTGTGTGAGATGTGTGAGACTGTACCTGGTAGTGTGTGAGATGTGTGAGATAGCACCTGGTAGTGTGTGAGAAGTGTGAGATAGCACCTGGTAGTGTGTGAGATGTGTGAGATAGCACCTGGTAGTGTGTGAGATGTGTGAGATAGCACCTGGTAGTGTGTGAGATGTGTGAGATAGCACCTGGTAGTGTGTGGGATGTGTGAGATAGCACCAGGTAGTGTGTGGGATGTGTGAGATAGCACCTGGTAGTGTGTGAGATGTGTGAGACTGTACCTGGTAGTGTGTGGGATGTGTAAGATAGCACCTGGTAGTGTGTGGGATGTGTGAGATAGCACCTGGTAGTGTGTGAGATGTGTGAGACTGTACCTGGTAGTGTGTGAGATGTGTGAGATAGCACCTGGTAGTGTGTGAGATGTGTGAGATAGCACTAGGTAGTGTGTGAGATGTGTGAGATAGCACCTGGTAGTGTGTGAGATGTGTGAGATAGCACTAGGTAGTGTGTGAGATGTGTGAGACTGTACCTGGTAGTGTGTGAGATGTGTGAGATAGCACCTGGTAGTGTGTGAGATGTGTGAGATAGCACTAGGTAGTGTGTGAGATGTGTGAGACTGTACCTGGTAGTGTGTGAGATGTGTGAGACTGTACCTGGTAGTGTGTGAGATGTGTGAGATAGCACCTGGTAGTGTGTGAGATGTGTGAGACTGCACCTGGTAGTGTGTGGGATGTGTGAGATAGCACTAGGTAGTGTGTGAGATGTGTGAGATAGCACCTGGTAGTGTGTGGGATGTGTGAGATAGCACCTGGTAGTGTGTGGGATGTGTGAGATAGCACTAGGTAGTGTGTGAGATGTGTGAGATAGCACCTGGTAGTGTGTGGGATGTGTGAGATAGCACCTGGTAGTGTGTGAGATGTGTGAGATAGCACCTGGTAGTGTGTGGGATGTGTGAGACTGTACCTGGTAGTGTGTGAGATGTGTGAGATAGCACCAGGTAGTGTGTGAGATGTGTGAGATAGCACCTGGTAGTGTGTGAGATGTGTGAGATAGCACTAGGTAGTGTGTGAGATGTGTGAGATAGCACCTGGTAGTGTGTGGGATGTGTGAGACTGTACCTGGTAGTGTGTGAGATGTGTGAGACTGTACCTGGTAGTGTGTGAGATGTGTGAGATAGCACTAGGTAGTGTGTGAGATGTGTGAGATAGCACTAGGTAGTGTGTGAGATGTGTGAGATAGCACTAGGTAGTGTGTGAGATGTGTGAGATAGCACCTGGTAGTGTGTGAGATGTGTGAGATAGCACCTGGTAGTGTGTGAGATGTGTGAGATAGCACTAGGTAGTGTGTGAGATGTGTGAGATAGCACCTGGTAGTGTGTGGGATGTGTGAGATAGCACCTGGTAGTGTGTGGGATGTGTGAGATAGTACCTGGTAGTGTGTGGGATGTGTGAGACTGTACCTGGTAGTGTGTGGGATGTGTGAGACTGTACCTGGTAGTGTGTGAGATGTGTGAGACTGTACCTAGTAGTGTGTGGGATGTGTGAGATAGCACTAGGTAGTGTGTGGGATGTGTGAGACTGTACCTGGTAGTGTGTGGGATGTGTGAGATAGCACCTGGTAGTGTGTGGGATGTGTGAGATAGCACTAGGTAGTGTGTGAGATGTGTGAGATAGCACCTGGTAGTGTGTGAGATGTGTGAGACTGTACCTGGTAGTGTGTGGGATGTGTGAGACTGTACCTGGTAGTGTGTGGGATGTGTGAGATAGCACCTGGTAGTGTGTGGGATGTGTGAGATAGCACTAGGTAGTGTGTGGGATGTGTGAGACTGTACCTGGTAGTGTGTGGGATGTGTGAGATAGCACCTGGTAGTGTGTGGGATGTGTGAGATAGCACTAGGTAGTGTGTGAGATGTGTGAGATAGCACCTGGTAGTGTGTGAGATGTGTGAGACTGTACCTGGTAGTGTGTGGGATGTGTGAGACTGTACCTGGTAGTGTGTGGGATGTGTGAGATAGCACTAGGTAGTGTGTGGGATGTGTGAGACTGTACCTAGTAGTGTGTGGGATGTGTGAGATAGCACTAGGTAGTGTGTGGGATGTGTGAGATAGCACCTGGTAGTGTGTGGGATGTGTGAGATAGCACTAGGTAGTGTGTGGGATGTGTGAGATAGCACCAGGTAGTGTGTGAGATGTGTGAGACTGTACCTGGTAGTGTGTGGGATGTGTGAGATAGCACCTGGTAGTGTGTGAGATGTGTGAGATAGCACCTGGTAGTGTGTGAGATGTGTGAGACTGTACCTGGTAGTGTGTGGGATGTGTGAGACTGTACCTGGTAGTGTGTGGGATGTGTGAGATAGCACTAGGTAGTGTGTGAGATGTGTGAGATAGCACCAGGTAGTGTGTGAGATGTGTGAGATAGCACCAGGTAGTGTGTGGGATGTGTGAGATAGCACCAGGTAGTGTGTGGGATGTGTGAGATAGCACCAGGTTGTATGTGAGATGTGTGAGACTGTACCTAGTAGTGTGTACGATAGCACCAGATTGTGTGTGAATCAAACAGACAGTCCAGAACGAACAATGTTACATCCAATTCGCTGAACATTTCCTGCAGGCGAACACAGGTGAACACAGGTACACACATGTAAACCAAGTTCTAGCACTCATTCTTGTAATGAACATATTTCTGGTTATAATGGTAAGCTGAGCTGAGTGAATAATGAATGTAGTTAAAAAACTTTCTCCAGGGGATCTCAGATTGTATCCATCAGTGGGCGGGGCAGGATCTGGCCAGGTATCCTTTACCCAGAGTACCTCCTAGAAGCTATTGAAGCGGGTGCCTTGTTGCACGACTTCATACAAAGGGTGTGGTGGCAGGACTGATATTTGTCTCGATTGACGTAAAAATGTTATGATTTCAATATTTTAAGTGTAGTCCCGACCGCTAACTTCATCTCATTTATATCAATCTAAGGTCTGCTATAAGGTCTTCTGTTAGGTCTTCTTTTAGGTCTTTTGTAAGATATACTTTAAGGTATGTTGCAATGTTTCCTGTAAGGTCTTTTGTAAGGTCTACTGTAAGGTCTGCTTTCTCAAATGCTGATATAAAACCTAAATAATCCAATACGATCAAAGGTACCCCAGTCACATAACCATTTACCCCGATCACATGACTTACCCCAATCACATGACTTACCCCAATCACATGACTTACCCCAATCACATGACTTACCCCAGTCACATGACCATTTACCCCAATCACATGACTTACCCCAATCACATGACTAACCCCAATCGCATGACTTACCCCAGTCACATGACCACACTTACCCCAGTCACATGACTTACCCCAGTCACATGACTTACCCTAGTCACATGACCACACTTACCCCAGTCACATTACTTACCCTAGTCACATGACCACACTTACACCCGGCCACATGACTTACCCTAGTCACATGACCACACTTACCCCAGTCACATGACTTACCCCAGTCACATGACTTACCCTAGTCACATGACCACACTTACCCCAGTCACATGACTTACCCCAGTCACATGACTTACCCTAGTCACATGACCACACTTACCCCAGTCACATGACTTACCCTAGTCACATGACCACACTTACACCAGTCACATGACTTACCCAAGTCACATGACTTACCCTAGTCACATGACCACACTTACCCCAGTCACATGACTTACCCCAGTCACATGACTTACCCTAGTCACATAACCACACTTACCCCAGTCACATGACCACACTTACCCCAGTCACATGACTTACCTCAGTCACATGACCACACTTACCCCAGTCACATGACTTAGCCCAGTCACATGACCACACTTACCCCAGTCACATGACTTACCCCAGTCACATGACCACACTTACCCCAGTCACATGACTTAGCCCAGTCACATGACCACACTTACCCCAGTCACATGACTTAGCCCAGTCACATGACCACACTTACCCCAGTCATATGACTTACCCCAGTCACATGACCACACTTACCCCACTCACATGACCAGACTACCCCACTTATTAGCCTTGACCTTGGCTTACCTTGAGTGAGGTAACAACAAGCGTCTTGTTGCCGAATGGATTCCCCAGCATGAAGTGCTCATGTGACGTCACGTTGATACCAGACGACAGCCTCCATTCCCCACCCTGCCGAGACAACATCCTACATCAGACACAAGAAACACCAACCTACAACATCCTACATCAGAAACACCAACCTACAACATCCTACATCAGAAACACCAACCTACAACATCCTACATCAGACACAAGAAACACCAACCTACAACATCCTACATCAGACACACCAACCTACAACATCCTACATCAGACACAAGAAACACCAACCTACAACATCCTACATCAGACACAAGAGACACCAACCTACAACATCCTACATCAGACACAAGAGACACCAACCTACAACATCCTACATCAGACACACCAACCTACAACATCCTACATCAGACACAAGAGACACCAACCTACAACATCCTACATCAGACACAAGAAACACCAACCTACAACATCCTACATCAGACACAAGAAACACCAACCTACAACATCCTACATCAGACACAAGAGACACCAACCTACAACATCCTACATCAGACACAAGAAACACCAACCTACAACATCCTACATCAGACACAAGAAACACCAACCTACAACATCCTACATCAGACACAAGAGACACCAACCTACAACATCCTACATCAGACACACCAACCTACAACATCCTACATCAGACACAAGAGACACCAACCTACAACATCCTACATCAGACACAAGAAACACCAACCTACAACATCCTACATCAGACACAAGAAACACCAACCTACAACATCCTACATCAGAAACACCAACCTACAACATCCTACATCAGAAACACCAACCTACAACATCCTACATCAGACACAAGAAACACCAACCTACAACATCCTACATCAGACACAAGAAACACTAACCTACAACATCCTACATCAGACACAAGAAACACCAACCTACAACATCCTACATCAGACACAAGAAACACCAACCTACAACATCCTACATCAGACACAAGAAACACCAACCTACAACATCCTACATCAGACACAAGAAACACCAACCTACAACATCCTACATCAGACACAAGAGACACCAACCTACAACATCCTACATCAGACACAAGAGACACCAACCTACAACATCCTACATCAGACACACCAACCTACAACATCCTACATCAGACACAAGAGACACCAACCTACAACATCCTACATCAGACACAAGAAACACCAACCTACAACATCCTACATCAGACACAAGAAACACCAACCTACAACATCCTACATCAGACACAAGAGACACCAACCTACAACATCCTACATCAGACACAAGAAACACCAACCTACAACATCCTACATCAGACACAAGAAACACCAACCTACAACATCCTACATCAGACACAAGAGACACCAACCTACAACATCCTACATCAGACACACCAACCTACAACATCCTACATCAGACACAAGAGACACCAACCTACAACATCCTACATCAGACACAAGAAACACCAACCTACAACATCCTACATCAGACACAAGAAACACCAACCTACAACATCCTACATCAGAAACACCAACCTACAACATCCTACATCAGAAACACCAACCTACAACATCCTACATCAGACACAAGAAACACCAACCTACAACATCCTACATCAGACACAAGAAACACTAACCTACAACATCCTACATCAGACACAAGAAACACCAACCTACAACATCCTACATCAGACACAAGAAACACCAACCTACAACATCCTACATCAGACACAAGAAACACCAACCTACAACATCCTACATCAGACACAAGAAACACCAACCTACAACATCCTACATCAGACACAAGAAACACCAACCTACAACATCCTACATCAGACACAAGAAACACCAACCTACAACATCCTACATCAGACACAAGAAACACCAACCTACAACATCCTACATCAGACACAAGAAACACCAACCTACAACATCCTACATCAGACACAAGAAACACCAACCTACAACATCCTACATCAGACACAACTTTAGAAACACCAACCTACAACATCCTCCATCAGACACAAGAAACACCAACCTACAACATCCTACATCAGACACAACTTTAGAAACACCAACCTACAACATCCTACATCAGACACAAGAATCACCAACCTACAACATCCTACATCAGACACAACTTAAGAAACACCAACCTACAACATCCTACATCAGACACAAGAAACACCAACCTACAACATCCTACATCAGACACAAGAAACACCAACCTACAACATCCTACATCAGACACAACTTAAGAAACACCAACCTACAACATCCTACATCAGACACAAGAAACACCAACCTACAACATCCTACATCAGACACAAGAAACACCAACCTACAACATCCTACATCAGACACAAGAAACACCAACCTCAAAATTGCAGTTTCCATTTCTCAAATCATTTTTCACAAAAATTGTAATTTATTTTTGTTAAATATATCTAACATGAAAGACAAGCTAATGCTTTCAATCCCCACTGCATTATTAATGGGGAGAGATGTATTCCCTACACACAGCGCAATCATTTTAACTAAATGATAACGAACTAATTTGCTCGTGTATCATTCTTCATGCATTATATGAGAGCTTAATGACTTCACTCATTATATGAGAGCTTAATGACTTCACTCCGTGGCAATACATTAGGATCCGGCGGTAATTCAAGTCTTACCTTCATTAGATCTCATTACACTTACCTTCATTAGGCCTTATTACTCTTACCTTTATTAGACCTTCTTACCTTCATTAGGCCTTTGGATGCTAGCTGTAGAATATCTAGTTTAAAATCAAGCCGTCTACCCGTTTTTAAAAGTATATCACCCGTCAGTCCCTTCAAGGGAATCTGTAACAAAAAAGTTGATTGGTTAGGTTGATATGATTGTTACTTTATCGACACATTGTATCTCAGTTGATACCGACGACTTTGGTGCAAGAAATTCACCTAGGTACCACAAGACAATCACATCAGTGACGATCGTGTGGGGAACTCAAACCTGTCACAGCTAAACAGAAACTTAGCTAAACACCACCATATAGGCTACCCAGAGCTAAACACCACCATATAGGCTACACAGACCGAGAAGAAAGATGTAACGTAAAGTTTTAAAAGAAAGTCGACACGATGTGTTGGGGAGGTTTGGTGGTAACTTTAGTCTGTCGCTGATGTGTGGATCAACTTGTACTCGCTCGTATTGTCGGTGTCAATACATTTTTGGTGAGTCACTTGACCAAACAACACCTAAGGTGTTTCTTCCAGGCATCTCTTCAGGAAGGCTCCCCCCCCCCCCCTCCGAACAGTGTCTACCGCCCCTCCCCCGAACGAAATGGAATTTATATAGAAAATATATACTTTTAACAGTTAAACAGTGTTACCCCTCCCCCAACCCCGAAAATTTCCAGTCCCCCCCCCCCCCCTCGCCGGAGAAAGTAGTCTGGAAGAAACACTGAACACCTTAAGGATAAATCAGGTAACCGACCTGCCGATTAGATCACGTGACCAACATTTAATATAAATCACATGACCAACCTACCAAGTTGACCACGTGACCCAACTAGCCACTCACCTGGTTTAAAAAGGAATACAAAATGGGCCCGGAGGTCCACTGGGCCGGGCTATCACAGCTGGCATTGAAGGGCCGCAAGATGGCCGACTTGTCGTAGCGATCCAGCGCCACGGCCAACAAGTAGACCGAGTCGTACATCAGGGCCACCTCGTGCTGCAAGCAGGGCAGGGGGCAAAGGTTAAAGGTGGGGGTCGGAGTCATAGGTTAATGGTTGGGGTCGGAGTCGGAGTCATAGGTTAATGGTGGGGTCGGAGTCATAGGTTAATGGTGGGGTCGGAGTCATAGGTTAATGGTGGGGTCGGAGTCGGAGTCATAGGTTAATGGTGGGGTCGGAGTCGGAGTCATAGGTTAATGGTGGGGTCGGAGTCATAGGTTTATGGTGGGGTCGGAGTCATAGGTTAATGGTGGGGTCGGAGTCGGAGTCATAGGTTAATGGTGGGGTCGGAGTCGGAGTCATAGGTTAATGGTGGGGTCGGAGTCGGAGTCATAGGTTAATGGTGGGGTCAGAGTCATAGGTTAATGGTGGGGTCGGAGTCGGAGTCATAGGTTTATGGTGGGGTCGGAGTCATAGGTTAATGGTGGGGTCGGAGTCGGAGTCATAGGTTAATGGTGGGGTCGGAGTCGGAGTCATAGGTTAATGGTGGGGTCGGAGTCATAGGTTAATGGTGGGGTCGGAGTCATAGGTTAATGGTGGGGTCGGAGTCGGAGTCATAGGTTAATGGTGGGGTCGGAGTCATAGGTTAATGGTGGGGTCGGAGTCGGAGTCATAGGTTAATGGTGGGGTCGGAGTCATAGGTTTATGGTGGGGTCGGAGTCATAGGTTAATGGTGGGGTCGGAGTCGGAGTCATAGGTTAATGGTGGGGTCGGAGTCGGAGTCATAGGTTAATGGTGGGGTCGGAGTCATAGGTTCATGGTGGGGTCGGAGTCGGAGTCATAGGTTAATGGTGGGGTCGGAGTCATAGGTTAATGGTGGGGTCGGAGTCATAGGTTAATGGTGGGGTCGGAGTCGGAGTCATAGGTTAATGGTGGGGTCGGAGTCATAGGTTTATGGTGGGGTCGGAGTCATAGGTTAATGGTGAGGGTTGGAGTCATAGGTTAGTGGTGAGGGCTGGAGTCATGGGTTTGTGGTGGGGGCTGGAGTCACAGGTTAGTATTGGGGGTTGGAGTCATGGGTTAATGGTAGGGGTTGGAGTCTTAGGTTAGTTGTAAGGGTTGGAGTCATGGGTTAGAGGTGGGGGTTGGAGTCATAGGTTAATGGTGGGGGTTGGAGTCATGGGTTAGAGGTGGGGGCTGGAGTCATAGGTTAGAGGTGGGGGTTGGAGTCATAGGTTAGAGGTGGGGGTTGGAGTCATAGGTTAGAGGTGGGGGTTGGAGTCATAGGTTAGAGGTGGGGGTTGGAGTCATAGGTTAGAGGTGGGGGTTGGAGTCATATGTTTATGTGGGTGTCGGAGTCATAGTTTAACTTTCAACCGTGTCAGAGTTTATCTGTTGTATTAGGGAAGTTTGTGTTATAAACAAACCAAACAATTAACAGACAAACCACCACTTACATGGTTGGGTTTAGTTTAAGTTCTTGTTTATATTTGTAGATAACATGTGAATGTATGCCTAGGCTAGTGTTAATTTAGTTCTATATGCTGACATGTGTTAGCAATATAAACACCATCTTACACGTTCATTAACATCCCATGAAAAATATTTATTACTACAACTTTTCGTCATAGGGGCACACACATATACAAGCATTCATACTCCTACCTACACACATACTCACCCTCGCCACCATACTCACACATACTTTTTCACATACAAATACTCACCTACACCCACACACACCACCATTATATTTCCCATCCAAACTCACACACTCCGACACACACTAGAATCGCAACATGTCGTAAATTCCATCAGCCTTAGGCTGGTACCAATGAAACATCACTTCAACCAAATTTGTATCCTTTCCACGCTGTGTAGTGTTTATCTTTGAGAACACGATCTCTTCAATAAAAATAAGTTTTCTAGCTTTAGGGCTGTACATTTCTCGAGCGTCTTCCTTATATTATCCCACCCTAAAGACCCACCCTAAAGACCCACCCAACAGACCCACCTAAAGACCCACCCTAAAGACCCACCCTAAAGACCCACCCTAAAGACCCACCCTAAAGACCCACCCTAAAGACCCACCCTAAAGACCCACCCAGCAGAACCACCTAAAGACCCACCCTAAAGACCCACCCTAAAGACCCACCCTAAAGACCCACCCTAAAGACCCACCTAAAGACCCACCCTAAAGACCCACCCTAAAGACCCACCCTAAAGACCCACCCTAAAGACCCACCTAAAGACCCACCCTAAAGACCCACCCTAAAGACCCACCCAGCAGAACCACCTAAGGACCCACCCTAAAGACCCACCCTAAAGACCCACCCTAAAGACCCACCCTAAAGACCCACCCTAAAGACCCACCTAAAGACCCACCCAGCAGAACCACCTAAAGATCCACCTAAAGACCCACCCTAAAGACCCACCCTAAAGACCCACCCTAAAGACCCACCCTAAAGACCCACCCAGCAGAACCACCTAAGGACCCACCCTAAAGACCCACCCTAAAGACCCACCCTAAAGACCCACCCTAAAGACCCACCCTAAAGACCCACCTAAAGACCCACCCAGCAGAACCACCTAAGGACCCACCCTAAAGACCCACCCTAAAGACCCACCCTAAAGACCCACCCTAAAGACCCACCCTAAAGACCCACCCTAAAGACCCACCCTAAAGACCCACCCTAAAGACCCACCCAGCAGAACCACCTAAAGACCCACCCTAAAGACCCACCCTAAAGACCCACCCTAAAGACCCACCCTAAAGACCCACCCTAAAGACCCACCCTAAAGACCCACCCTAAAGACCCACCCTAAAGACCCACCCTAAAGACCCACCCTAAAGACCCACCCTAAAGACCCACCCTAAAGACCCACCCTAAAGACCCACCCTAAAGACCCACCCTAAAGACCCACCCTAAAGACCCACCCTAAAGACCCACCCTAAAGACCCACCCTAAAGACCCACCCCAAAGACCCACCCTACCGTCCGTCGCGAGAATACCACGTCTATACCAGCCTAGTTACACCATCCCCTGCACAACCATCAACCTGTCCTGGCATGCAATAAACTATCAGGATGTTTTTAAAGCTATTGATAAGCCAGCGTCTAAATCAAAGAAAAAATGCCCACCCTCTCATATGTCAAAAAAAAATATTAATCAAAAACGATTACTTAATTTTCTATTTTTTTTTCCTATCATTGAAACTAGGGTGGATTTATGAATTTATTACTGGATTTTTATGGTCATAAATATGAATGGCATCCGCCAATACATAATTTATTCTTTTTTTTTTCTTCATATGTCGAGTTTTTGTGTCCATCTATTTATTTTTCACTGAGAAGAAAGTTACACATATAAATGTAGCGTGGGATATGGGCCCGGATTATGTTTAAATTAATTGCAATTTTTTGTGTGTTGATTGAATAATTCCTTGGTAAAGAACGTTTGATGGACCTTACAATTTTCTGTGGGAATTTCATTTTTCTAAATATAGAATTTATTTCAACCGAGCGACCCTAGGATTGGGACATTTTACTTTGATCTATAGAAGTAATTGTTATTGATCTATGGAACTAATTGTTATTGATCTATAAAATTAATTGTCAGTGTTCTAGAGAAGTAATTGTCTTTGGTCTATAGAAGTAATTGTCATTGGTATATAGAAGTAATTGTCCTTAATTAATAGAAGTAATTGTCAGTGTTCTATAGAACTGATTGTCATAGGTCTGTTGAACTAATTGTCATTGACATATGAACTATTCTATAGGCCTACGTCGGCTGGTTTCTACATTGTATTCACCTATTGAATATGTAAACATTATGTGTGTACGCTGCATGTGTGTGTACTATGGTTGTACTCAATACGTACCGGTAGAAAAAGATAGCCGGCTAACTTACCGGCAGAGAGAGGTGGCCGGCTAACTTACCGGCAGAGAAAGGTAGCCGGCTAACTCACCGGCAGAGAGAGATAGCCGGCTAACTAACCGGCAGAGAGAGATAGCGGGGTAACTAACCGGTAGAGAGAGATAGCCGGCTAACTCACCGGCAGAGAGAGATAGCCGGCTAACTTACCGGCAGAGAGAGATAGCCGGCTAACTTACCGGCAGAGAGAGGTAGCCGGCTAACTTACCGGCAGAGAGAGGTAGCCGGCTAACTTACCGGCAGAGAGAGGTAGCCGGCTAACTTACCGGCAGAGAGAGGTAGCCGGTTGTGTTGAGCAGGCTCAAGTCGGTCTGCATCTCGTAGATTTCCATCTCGTGGATGATTTTTCTCACATCCGGATCCGATGGGTCAACGAGCCGGAAACCGGTTAAGTTGACGTAGTTGTGCCGGAAATCCTCCATGTCAATAGATTCTATATCCTGCAATAAAAGTTTAACATTTGACATCTGGCAGTGACATGTGTCATTCAGATGACAACTCAGTCGCCCATGCATACCTTGACATAAGTCTAGCTTTCCTGGTCAATATCTTCAAATATCTTTTGCCCAATTTTTAACTTTAACATTAAAAGATGTAACAGCTAATCCTATACCAATCGGGTACCGTAAACATCGTATTTGGCCTCTACACTACTGATATTGGATTTATTATTTCTCATTTCTCTGACTTTGAATGTAAGGCCCATCAGATGAACCCATTAAAAGCATATCATAAGCCGACGGTCCGAGTCACGTGGTATTGATAACGTGACGTAGATACACATCTGGAGTCAGATGGAGGCAGAGCGCCAGCCCAATGATCGAAGCTTGACATCAATAAAACTGACCAGAGCCCTCACGGAACTAGATTATGATGAAGCAAAGAACGTACTCCGTCCGGCGGAGTGATATTTTTTACACGCTTTGATCAAGCGGAATACGATTTGATTAGAACAGAGAGATTCGGCCAATGAAGGATAGTTTTTACTTCTTGAGCGGGCTGGATTGACGGAAGCGTGTTGATTAAAATATTTAGGGGTCGATGGGTGTAGCCCCCCCCCCCCCCCCCCAAGGACGTATCTATGGGAGTAGCGCCACAGGATATGTCTGTGTGTGTGTGGCAACTCAGGAATCGCCTATGGGCGTAGCACCCCAAGACGTGTCTATGGGTGTAGCATCCCAAGACGTGTTTATGGGGGTAGCGCCCCAGGAATTGCCTATGGGTGTAGCGCCCAAGGACGTGTCTGTGTGTTTGGCACCCGAGGAGGTGTCTATGGACGTAGCGCCCCAGGACGTGTCTATGGGTGTAGCGCCCCAGGAATTGCCTATGGGCGTAGCGCCCCTAGACGTGTCTATGGGTGTAGCACCCCAGGAATTGCCTATGGGCGTAGCGCCCCTAGACGTGTCTATGGGTGTAGCACCCCATGACGTGTCTATGGACGTAGCGCCCCAGGACGTGTCTATGGGTGTAGCGCCCCAGGAATTGCCTATGGGCGTAGCGCCCCTAGACGTGTCTATGGGTGTAGCACCCCAGGAATTGCCTATGGGCGTAGCGCCCCTAGACGTGTCTATGGGTGTAGCACCCCATGACGTGTCTATGGACGTAGCGCCCCAGGACGTGTCTATGGGTGTAGCGCCCCAGTACAGGGCAGCTATTGTTGTTATGTAGCTGTTTTATTGTCAACCTTTAAAACCTCAGCAAAAATCTCTGAACATCTCGACTTCCTCTGGAGACATTTTGACGTTGTCTATCACAGATCACTTTTTAAATGACACCAATGATATCTGGACAACACCCGTCACAGATCTTCGGGTGTCCACAGATCTCTGGACTTCCGCCGAGTTTGTGGTTGTTTAGTTAGTCATTTTGTGTGTCTGTTGACCAGCCAGTACTCACGCTTGACTTCAACATATCTAACGGACACTACAGTAACTAGATGTTTGAACAAGCTAAGCGTTTGAAAAATAACAAAATGACTACTCCCAAATGTATTGATTATTTCTGCTCACGAAATTAAAATCATGTGGCAATATAGCTACCACCTGGGGCTGGCTGTAAACTGGCCAGATTTTGACGAGATTTCCACGAGATTTCGACGAGATTTCAAAAGAGCCGCACCTGAGCTCAGGGAAGGGAAATGTTTACTTTCGGATAACGCTAAAATCATAGACAACTTTGATTCCCGCGGGAAGACAAACAGCTTTGTTTTATTTGCCTACATCTTTTCATCGCGGTAATTTTTCAAGTTGGCGCTGAGGATGTGTCTAATTGGACGACGTTTGAAATCGTGTATCCCACAGCTGGGGAAGTTCGCGACTTTCTGAAAATAAATGTTTCCCTGGCCGACACGGTAGAATGCTCCCGTCTTATTTTTGTGTTTTTGTTCAGTTTGTAAGAAAAGCAAGGAGTATTTTCTTTTGGATTTCAATAATGTCAAATAGCAAAACAAAAACCAAAACTAGACCTTGTTTTTGTAGGTGTAGATTTTTTCTTCAACATGGAATGGTGTACATCGGTGTGACAGGATACGTTTGTTTTAGTTTTTTTAAGGCAGTGGGTAGGCGGATACCGGGGTAAGGGGTTTAGATTGTGTTAACTTTGATATTGTGGGTTTAACTTTTGTAGTTTAACTTTGGTGTCTTTTAAATGTTTAACTATGGTGTCTGGGGTTAACATGTCTGTGTTTGTAGTACGATCACTAGTCGCTAGCATCCTTTACTGTCTGTGTCTGCCATAGACATTAGTTTGATACTAAATTATTGCTAACACGCCTCACCCCCACACGTCAGGGGGAGACGACAAGAGTACCGACCCAATTAGCTCACCCCCAGTCCCCCGGTACACGCCAAACACGCGGGGTGGGGGGGGGGGGGCTGGGTGGTGTGTGTGGATGTGATAATATATGGAAATTGCTTTCGCACATTTTAAATTATCAACAAAACTACAATTGGATATTGACTGCGTCGAACTGTTTGACTCAAACTGTCGCTCCTAGCCGGAAACTCACGGCTCAGTAGGATGAACTATGTATGCCGGCAGCCGGCACTTGAATGCCGGCACATGAATGCTGGCTAATGGTGTAGACGTGACAGTAACCTATTCAAATGACTCAGTAAATAACGGTACAGTTGTAAATAATCATGACTGTAATTAGAGACGGCCTGGTCGAATGGTAGAGTAACGACTGCTATCCCGAAAGTCTAGAGTTCGGATCTCGGGCTCGAGTTCGTGGTACGTCTCAGATGAACTCTACTTCATCTCGCCCACGGGTCTTTGACACGATCATTTGTCCTTGTTGTTTTTATATAACGATGTTTACAATTTTCAGATTCTTTAATGATCATTAAAACAATTTTTTTCTTCAGTCTATTATACATTTGGTAGAGTTACTATTTCCAGACGGTTGAATACGAATGGGACAAAACTCAATTAGTAAAGCTATTAAAGCTCTATTTACTAAATGTGTAACAATATAGAAGATGTACTCACTAAATTTGTAACAATATAAAAGATGTAATCACTAAATTTGTAACAATATAGAAGATGTACTCACTAAATCTGTAACAATATAAAAGATGTACTCACTAAATTTGTAACAATATAAAAGATGTAATCACTAAATTTGTAACAATATAAAAGATGTACTCACTAAATTTGTAACAATATAGAAGATGTACTCACTAAATTTGTAACAATATAATGATGGTATGGATCAATCATTCCTTCTTGTAAGGCCTGGAGCAGAATACAAACAATTTCAAAAAATCATGTCATATTGTATGTCAACATGCGACACTAAATCCATTTCAACATTAACAAGTTTTTAAATCAGTTAAATGCTAGAAATAAGTGAGACAATAAAATACTGTTAGGACTGTGGTCTCATCAACAGGGAGGTCTATCAACTTACCATTTTAAGAAACAACGTGGTCTATCAACTTACCATTTTAAAAAAGAACGTGGTCTATCAACTTACCATTTTAAAAAAGAACGTGGTCTATCAACTTACCATTTTAAAAAACAACAAGTTCTATCAACTTACCATTTTAAGAAACAACGTGGTCTATCAACTTACCATTTTAAGAAACAACGTGGTCTATCAACTTACCATTTTAAGAAACAACGTGGTCTCATCAACAGGGAGGTCTATCAACTTACCATTTTAAGAAACAACGTGGTCTATCAACTTACCATTTTAAGAAACAACGTGGTCTATCAACTTACCATTTTAAGAAACAACGTGGTCTATCAACTTACCATTTTAAGAAACAACGTGGTCTATCAACTTACCATTTTAAGAAACAACGTGGTCTCATCAACAGGGAGGTCTATCAACTTACCATTTTAAGAAACAACGTGGTCTATCAACTTACCATTTTAAGAAACAACGTGGTCTATCAACTTACCATTTTAAGAAACAACGTGGTCTCATCAACAGGGAGGTCTATCAACTTACCATTTTAAGAAACAACGTGGTCTATCAACTTACCATTTTAAGAAACAACGTGGTCTATCAACTTACCATTTTAAGAAACAACGTGGTCTATCAACTTACCATTTTAAGAAACAACGTGGTCTATCAACTTACCATTTTAAGAAACAACGTGGTCTCATCAACAGGGAGGTCTATCAACTTACCATTTTAAGAAACAACGTGGTCTATCAACTTACCATTTTAAGAAACAACGTGGTCTCATCAACAGGGAGGTCTATCAACTTACCATTTTAAGAAACAACGTGGTCTATCAACTTACCATTTTAAGAAACAACGTGGTCTATCAACTTACCATTTTAAGAAACAACGTGGTCTATCAACTTACCATTTTAAGAAACAACGTGGTCTATCAACTTACCATTTTAAGAAACAACGTGGTCTATCAACTTACCATTTTAAGAAACAACGTGGTCTATCAACTTACCATTTTAAGAAACAACGTGGTCTATCAACTTACCATTTTAAGAAACAACGTGGTCTATCAACTTACCATTTTAAGAAACAACGTGGTCTATCAACTTACCATTTTAAGAAACAACGTGGTCTATCAACTTACCATTTTAAGAAACAACGTGGTCTATCAACTTACCATTTTAAGAAACAACGTGGTCTATCAACTTACCATTTTAAGAAACAACGTGGTCTATCAACTTACCATTTTAAGAAACAACGTGGTCTATCAACTTACCATTTTAAGAAACAACGTGGTCTATCAACTTACCATTTTAAGAAACAACGTGGTCTATCAACTTACCATTTTAAGAAACAACGTGGTCTATCAACTTACCATTTTCAGAAACAACGTGGTCTATCAACTTACCATTTTAAGAAACAACGTGGTCTCATCAACAGGGAGGTCTATCAACTTACCATTTTAAGAAACAACGTGGTCTATCAACTTACCATTTTAAGAAACAACGTGGTCTCATCAACAGGGAGGTCTATCAACTTACCATTTTAAGAAACAACGTGGTCTATCAACTTACCATTTTAAGAAACAACGTGGTCTATCAACTTACCATTTTAAGAAACAACGTGGTCTATCAACTTACCATTTTAAGAAACAACGTGGTCTATCAACTTACCATTTTAAGAAACAACGTGGTCTATCAACTTACCATTTTAAGAAACAACGTGGTCTCATCAACAGGGAGGTCTATCAACTTACCATTTTAAGAAACAACGTGGTCTATCAACTTACCATTTTAAGAAACAACGTGGTCTATCAACTTACCATTTTAAGAAACAACGCGGTCTATCAACTTACCATTTTAAGAAACAACGTGGTCTCATCAACAGGGAGGTCTATCAACTTACCATTTTAAGAAACAACGTGGTCTATCAACTTACCATTTTAAGAAACAACGTGGTCTATCAACTTACCATTTTAAGAAACAACGTGGTCTATCAACTTACCATTTTAAGAAACAACGTGGTCTCATCAACAGGGAGGTCTATCAACTTACCATTTTAAGAAACAACGTGGTCTATCAACTTACCATTTTAAGAAACAACGTGGTCTATCAACTTACCATTTTAAGAAACAACGTGGTCTCATCAACAGGGAGGTCTATCAACTTACCATTTTAAGAAACAACGTGGTCTATCAACTTACCATTTTAAGAAACAACGTGGTCTATCAACTTACCATTTTAAGAAACAACGTGGTCTATCAACTTACCATTTTAAGAAACAGCGTGGTCTATCAACTTACCATTTTAAGAAACAACGTGGTCTATCAACTTACCATTTTAAGAAACAACGTGGTCTATCAACTTACCATTTTAAGAAACAACGTGGTCTATCAACTTACCATTTTAAGAAACAACGTGGTCTATCAACTTACCATTTTAAGAAACAACGTGGTCTATCAACTTACCATTTTAAGAAACAACGTGGTCTATCAACTTACCATTTTAAGAAACAACGTGGTCTATCAACTTACCATTTTAAGAAACAACGTGGTCTCATCAACATTGAGGTCTATCAACTTACCATTTTAAGAAACAACGTGGTCTATCAACTTACCATTTTAAGAAACAACGTGGTCTATCAACTTACCATTTTAAGAAACAACGTGGTCTATCAACTTACCATTTTAAGAAACAACGTGGTCTCATCAACAGGGAGGTCTATCAACTTACCATTTTAAGAAACAACGTGATCTATCAACTTACCATTTTAAGAAACAACGTGGTCTATCAACGTACCATTTTAAGAAACAACGTGGTCTCATCAACAGGGAGGTCTATCAACTTACCATTTTAAGAAACAACGTGGTCTATCAACTTACCATTTTAAGAAACAACGTGGTCTCATCAACAGGGAGGTCTATCAACTTACCATTTTAAGAAACAACGTGGTCTATCAACTTACCATTTTAAGAAACAACGTGGTCTATCAACTTACCATTTTAAGAAACAACGTGGTCTATCAACTTACCATTTTAAGAAACAACGTGGTCTATCAACTTACCATTTTAAGAAACAACGTGGTCTATCAACTTACCATTTTAAGAAACAACGTGGTCTCATCAACAGGGAGGTCTATCAACTTACCATTTTAAGAAACAACGTGGTCTATCAACTTACCATTTTAAGAAACAACGTGGTCTATCAACTTACCATTTTAAGAAACAACATGGTCTATCAACTTACCATTTTAAGAAACAACGTGGTCTCATCAACAGGGAGGTCTATCAACTTACCATTTTAAGAAACAACGTGGTCTATCAACTTACCATTTTAAGAAACAACGTGGTCTATCAACTTACCATTTTAAGAAACAACGTGGTCTCATCAACAGGGAGGTCTATCAACTTACCATTTTAAGAAACAACGTGATCTATCAACTTACCATTTTAAGAAACAACGTGGTCTATCAACTTACCATTTTAAGAAACAACGTGGTCTCATCAACAGGGAGGTCTATCAACTTACCATTTTAAGAAACAACGTGGTCTATCAACTTACCATTTTAAGAAACAACGTGGTCTCATCAACAGGGAGGTCTATCAACTTACCATTTTAAGAAACAACGTGGTCTATCAACTTACCATTTTAAGAAACAACGTGGTCTATCAACTTACCATTTTAAGAAACAACGTGGTCTATCAACTTACCATTTTAAGAAACAACGTGGTCTATCAACTTACCATTTTAAGAAACAACGTGGTCTCATCAACATTGAGGTCTATCAACTTACCATTTTAAGAAACAACGTGGACTATCAACTTACCATTTTAAGAAACAACGTGGTCTATCAACTTACCATTTTAAGAAACAACGTGGTCTCATCAACAGGGAGGTCTATCAACTTACCATTTTAAGAAACAACGTGGTCTATCAACTTACCATTTTAAGAAACAACGTGGTCTATCAACTTACCATTTTAAGAAACAACGTGGTCTCATCAACAGGGAGGTCTATCAACTTACCATTTTAAGAAACAACGTGGTCTATCAACTTACCATTTTAAGAAACAACGTGGTCTCATCAACAGGGAGGTCTATCAACTTACCATTTTAAGAAACAACGTGGTCTATCAACTTACCATTTTAAGAAACAACGTGGTCTATCAACTTACCATTTTAAGAAACAACGTGGTCTATCAACTTACCATTTTAAGAAACAACGTGGTCTATCAACTTACCATTTTAAGAAACAACGTGGTCTATCAACTTACCATTTTAAGAAACAACGTGGTCTCATCAACAGGGAGGTCTATCAACTTACCATTTTAAGAAACAACGTGGTCTATCAACTTACCATTTTAAGAAACAACGTGGTCTATCAACTTACCATTTTAAGAAACAACGTGGTCTATCAACTTACCATTTTAAGAAACAACGTGGTCTCATCAACAGGGAGGTCTATCAACTTACCATTTTAAGAAACAACGTGGTCTATCATCTTACCATTTTAAGAAACAACGTGGTCTATCAACTTACCATTTTAAGAAACAACGTGGTCTCATCAACAGGGAGGTCTATCAACTTACCATTTTAAGAAACAACGTGGTCTATCAACTTACCATTTTAAGAAACAACGTGGTCTATCAACTTACCATTTTAAGAAACAACGTGGTCTATCAACTTACCATTTTAAGAAACAACGTGGTCTATCAACTTACCATTTTAAGAAACAACGTGGTCTCATCAACAGGGAGGTCTATCAACTTACCATTTTAAGAAACAACGTGGTCTCATCAACAGGGAGGTCTATCAACTTACCATTTTAAGAAACAACGTGGTCTATCAACTTACCATTTTAAGAAACAACGTGGTCTATCAACTTACCATTTTAAGAAACAACGTGGTCTATCAACTTACCATTTTAAGAAACAACGTGGTCTATCAACTTACCATTTTAAGAAACAACGTGGTCTATCAACTTACCATTTTAAGAAACAACGTGGTCTATCAACTTACCATTTTAAGAAACAACGTGGTCTATCAACTTACCATTTTAAGAAACAACGTGGTCTCATCCACAGGGAGGTCTATCAACTTACCATTTTAAGAAACAACGTGGTCTATCAACTTACCATTTTAAGAAACAACGTGGTCTCATCAACAGGGAGGTCTATCAACATCCGCCTCCACCTCTTGTCCTTCGCCTCCCGGAGGATGAGCCTCATGTTGCTGGCGTCCACGTGACGCACCAGGACGTCCTCCAGGGTGGGGATCTCCCCCCGTAGGACACGCTGGACCCGGCTCAACCCTGGGGACACACGGGATACAGGGGGTTTACGGTACAGGGGAATGTAGGATTGGGTTTAGATGGTTTACAGTACAGGGAACTATAGGGTTGGGTTCATGTAGGTTTACGGTACAGGGACATGTAGGGTTGGGTTTAGAAGGTTTACAGTACAGGGAACTGTAGGGTTGGGTTCATGTAGGTTTACGGTACAGGGAAATGTAGGGTTGGGTTTAGAGGGTTTACGGTACAGGGAATATAGGGTAGGGTTTAGAGGGTTTATGGTACAGGGATATGTAGGGTAGGTGTTTAGAGGGTTTACGGTACAGGGAAATGTAGGGTTGGGTTTATGTAGGTTTACGGTAGAGGGAAATACAGGGTTGGGTTTCAGTAGGTTTACCATAGCGTGACCATACATCAGACAATCACTGATCATACACTGACCATAAGCTGACCATACACTGACCATACACCAGACAAATACTGACCATACCCTGACCATACCCTGACCATATACTGACCATACACTGACCATACACCATACAAAAACTGACCATACCCTGACCATATACTGACCATAACCTGACCATACACTGACCATACACTGACCATACACTGACTATACACTGACCATACCTTGACCATACACTAACCATACACTAACCATACACTGACCATACCTTGACCATACCTTGAGCATATACTGACCATACACTGACCATACACTGACCATACACTAACCATACACTGACCATATACTGACCATACACTGACCATACACTGACCATACACTGACCATACACTGACCATACACTGACCATACACTGACCATACACTGACCATACACTGACCATACACTGACCATACACCATACAAAAACTGACCATACCCTGACCATATACTGACCATAACCTGACCATACACTGACCATACACTGACCATACACTGACTATACACTGACCATACCTTGACCATACACTAACCATACACTAACCATACACTGACCATACCTTGACCATACCTTGAGCATATACTGACCATACACTGACCATACACTAACCATACACTGACCATATACTGACCATACACTGACCATACACTGACCATACACTGACCATACACTGACCATACACTGACCATACACTGACCATACACTGACCATACACTGACCATACACTGACCATACACAGACCATACCTTGAGCATGTACTGACCATACACTGACCATTCACTGACCATACACTAACCATACACTGACCATATACTGACCATACACTGACCATACACTGACCATACACTGACCATACACTGACCATACACTGACCATACCTTGAGCATGTACTGACCATACACTGACCATACACTGACCATACACTGACCGTTCACTAGACAAATACTCACCATACCCTGACCATACACTAACCATACACTGTCTACACACTGACCATACACTGACCATACCCTGACCATACACTAGAAACAAACTGACCATACACCAAACAAATACTGACAATACACTGACCATACACCTGACAAATACTGACCAAACACTGACCATACACTGACCATACACTGACCATACACTGACCATACACTGACCATACACTGACCATACACTAAAGAAATACTGACCATACTCCAGACAAATACTGACCATACACTGACCATAAATAAAGAACTACTGACCATACGTGCTGCCATAAACGACCAGCATCTGTGTCCAGCCGTAGTAGGCGATCAGGTCGGTGTAGGCGTGAGCTATCTGCTGTATCCCCGGGTACAGGTTGATGTTCAGCCCGTGGGGGGCCACGTGATGCCCGTCCCTGGCGTCGTTCCTCATCTCCAGGTGGGGGATCTGCATGGCCGCACACATCGAGTTGACGAAGGCGGCCAGGTTCTCCGCCCTCGGGCCAAACACGGCGATAGGGTGCTGGTCAATCTGGCTACACACTGAGGGAGACAAATGGGTCAAAGGTCAATCTGGCTACACACTGGGGGGAATAAATGGGTCATGGTCAATCTGGCTACACACTGAGGGAGGTACATGGGTCAAAGGTCAGTCTGGCTACACACTGTGTGAGACAGACGTGTCAAAGGTCAGTCTGGCTACACATTGAGGGAGATAAATGGGTCAAGGTCAGTCTGGCTACACACTGGGGGGAATAAATGGGTCATGGTCAATCTGGCTACACACTGAGGGAGGTACATGGGTCAAAGGTCAGTCTGGCTACACACTGTGTGAGACAGACGTGTCAAAGGTCAGTCTGGCTACACATTGAGGGAGATAAATGGGTCAAGGTCAGTCTGGCTACACACTGTGGGAGACTTACGTGTCACTGGTCAGTCAGATTACACACTAAGTGACATAAATGGATCACTGGTAAGTCTGATTACACATTAAGATAGATAACAATATAAGTATGAGATTGAAAATGAAAAACAGATTGGCAGCTAATTGTTTCTTTGAAAACAAAAGTTGTTTGCAAACATTAAAGTACAATATTATTTTTTAACCCCGAAAAAAAGTAAAACGATGTAAAAATATGTATTTAATCCGACACAAAAAGGTCAACATGACATGAAGGTTATGTTACTACAAAGCTCACCATTCAATTATAGGGCTGGAGTTATCTACCTTGGATAGCTGTGGCAGGATCACTTCACGAACACTAAATAAAGTGACCTTGACCTTTGTTTCAAAGGAAAAATTCGAAACAACAAAACATATTGTAGCAATCACACTCAAGTGTTCCAAGGTCTTTACATAATCGATTCCAACAGTTTAAAATTCCATCCGCAAGTTTGGAAAATTTCATCAACCGAACAGTACCGTATAGTTTATGCACTCGACTTCAACAGTTTAAAATTCCACCCGCAATTTTTAAAGATTTGATCGACCAAACTGTACCGTCTGGTTTATACACTCGACTTTTAGTTTAAAATTCCACCCGCATGTTTGGAAAATTTCATCAACCGAACAGTGCCGTATAGTTTATGCACTCGACTTCAACAGTTTAAAATTCCACCCGCGAGTTTGGTGCGATTGGAGCGACCACCCACTCTCACTAAATAAAAATATAAAGATGGTTTCAAGCATCGTCCACCTCCCCCCCTCCCTGGTGTTCCCCATCAAGATAGGGTCAGTAGGAACAAATTTTTTTATCTTGAAGTAACTGCACGATCACATTGATGATACCAGCTTGTGAGATTGTCGTGTAGTGTAGCACATCATGACAGGCGTGTAGTGTAGCACATCATGACAGTCGTGTAGTGTAGCACATCATGCCGTGTAGTGTAGCACATCATGACAGACTAGCAAGCTGTACGAGGGGGCTCCAGCAACAAGTCTTCATCAGACAGGAGATCCCTATACACTTTATTTTAAAACTGAGTAAAAATGAACTTGTTCAAATCATTTCTATACTACATCCAGCCAACACGTACTGGGAGATTGCAGTCGAGTGGTCATCGTGAGTCTAGAGCGGCCGTGGTAGAAGGTTCTGGATGCCAGACTTGCAAATCTCGAGCACCGACCTCCGTGTTGCTGACCCTAAACACGTAGCCCCCCCCCCCCCTTGAAATAACCTAGTTACCCACACCCATAGAACTAAACGACACTTCACAACAATGGAAATGGGAGATAATTTTCTTCGTTTCCACAAATTATCGCCCGTACTCAAGGATTAGCTCCCTTTAGTTGAATTACCCCAGGTTATCTCCCCTGAAAGTAAGTCATGCGGTGGAATAAAAACCATTCACATTTCAAGGGTATTGCTTCCCCCTAGGCGATTCAAAGACCTTCGTAAACTCTCCTTACCCCAGTCAACTCGCTAGTCTTGGCGGGATTTCACGTCAGCATTGTATTACAGCTTGACGTAGGCGTTCCCCCATCAACTCAATATATTAGTCTATACGGCGCGGGATATTGATCTCATGTTTCAACAGACAAAACATGATTGCGGATCTTAAATGGAACTCGATATCCCGACTAAGCGGACGATTAAATACCCCGTGAGTTGGTTTGACTGTCACAATATTTGCGCGGGTTAGTCCAGCACAGGACAACACGAGCGGTTAGTGCTCAACATGATGACGTGTCCACACCAGATAGCAGACACGTGACGAGGGTCATAACGTCAGCTGAACTAATTAGGACGTGACACGTGACCCCAGGGATGAATCACGCCAGGGAGCGTCCAGTCGTCACCAATCAACGGACTGACACCTTAAGTGGTCTGTGTTTTTATGGACAAGGGTTCACCCCCAGAGTTTCTTCCAGGCATCTCTTCGGGGGGGCGAAGCCCCCCCGAAAATTTTTTACCGCCCCCCCGAACGAAATGAAATTTATATAATTTATATAGAAAATATATACTTTTAACAGTGTCCGCCCCCCCCGAAGAAAGTTTACCGCCCCCCCGAAGATTTCAAGTGCCCCCCCGGAGAAAAAAGTCTGGAAGAAACACTGTTCACCCCCCCCCCCCCCCCCTCCTTAACACACAATTCCGCCTGTGTTCAGTGGCTAAGCCGAGGAAGCCATACTATGTATTTCACTAACAGTCCCGTGTCATTACCCATACTAGACACCACAATGACCCGTGTCATGACCGATAATAGACACCACAATGACCCGTGTCATGACCCATGCTTGACACCATAATGACCCGTGTCATGACCACGCTTGACGCCACACTGACCCCTGCCTTGTTGTCACAATGACCAGTACCTTGACCCATGACGTCCCAACATGACCCACACCGTGACCCATGACGTCCCAACTTGACCCACACCTTGACCCATGTAACATGACCCACACCTTGACCCATGACGTCCCAACATGACCCACACCGTGACCCATGACGTCCCAACATGACCCACACCTTGACCCATGTAACATGACCCACACCTTGACCCATGACGTCCCAACATGACCCACACCTTGACCCATGACGTCCCAACATGACCCACACCTTGACCCATGTAACATGACCCACACCTTGACCCATGTAACATGACCCACACCTTGACCCATGTAACATGACCCACACCTTGACCCATGTAACATGACCCACACCTTGACCCATGTAACATGACCCACACCTTGACCCATGTAACATGACCCACACCTTGACCCATGTAACATGACCCACACCTTGACCCATGTAACATGACCCACACCTTGACCCATGTAACATGACCCACACCTTGACCCATGTAACATGACCCACACCTTGACCCATGTAACATGACCCACACCTTGACCCATGTAACATGACCCACACCTTGACCCATGCAACATGACCCACACCTTGACCCATGTAACATGACCCACACCTTGACCCATGTAACATGACCCACACCTTGACCCATGTAACATGACCCACACCTTGACCCATGTAACATGACCCACACCTTGACCCATGTAACATGACCCACACCTTGACCCATGTAACATGACCCACACCTTGACCCATGCAACATGACCCACACCTTGACCCATGTAACATGACCCACACCTTGACCCATGTAACATGACCCACACCTTGACCCATGTAACATGACCCACACCTTGACCCATGTAACATGACCCACACCTTGACCCATGACGTCCCAACATGACCCACACCTTGACCCATGTAACATGACCCACACCTTGACCCATGTAACATGACCCACACCTTGACCCATGTAACATGACCCACACCTTGACCCATGTAACATGACCCAAACCTTGACCCATGTAACATGACCCACACCTTGACCCATGCAACATGACCCACACCTTGACCCATGTAACATGACCCACACCTTGACCCATGTAACATGACCCACACCTTGACCCATCCAACATGACCCACACCTTGACCCATGTAACATGACCCACACCTTGACCCATGACGTCCCAACATGACCCACACCTTGACCCATGTAACATGACCCACACCTTGACCCATGACGTCCCAACATGACCCACACCTTGACCCATGTAACATGACCCACACCTTGACCTATGTAACATGATCCACACCTTGACCCATCCAACATGACCCACACCTTGACCCATGTAACATGACCCACACCTTGACCCATGTAACATGACCCACACCTTGACCCATGTAACATGACCCACACCTTGACCCATGACGTCCCAACATGACCCACACCTTGACCCATGTAACATGACCCACACCTTGACCCATGTAACATGACCCACACCTTGACCCATCCAACATGACCCACACCTTGACCCATGTAACATGACCCACACCTTGACCCATGTAACATGACCCACACCTTGACCCATGCAACATGACCCACACCTTGACCCATGTAACATGACCCACACCTTGACCCATGTAACATGACCCACACCTTGACCCATGTAACATGACCCACACCTTGACCCATCCAACATGACCCACACCTTGACCCATGTAACATGACCCACACCTTGACCCATGTAACGTGACCCACACCTTGACCCATGTAACATGACCCACACCTTGACCCATGTAACATGACCCACACCTTGACCCATGTAACATGACCCACACCTTGACCCATGTAACATGACCCACACCTTGACCCATCCAACATGACCCACACCTTGACCCATGTAACATGACCCACACCTTGACCCATGTAACATGACCCACACCTTGACCCATCCAACATGACCCACACCTTGACCCATGTAACATGACCCACACCTTGACCCATCCAACATGACCCACACCTTGACCCATGTAACATGACCCACACCTTGACCCATGTAACATGACCCACACCTTGACCCATCCAACATGACCCACACCTTGACCCATGTAACATGACCCAAACCTTGACCCATGTAACATGACCCACACCTTGACCCATGTAACAAGACCCACACCTTGACCCATCCAACATGACCCACACCTTGACCCATGTAACATGACCCACACCTTGACCCATGTAACATGACCCACACCTTGACCCATGTAACATGACCCACACCTTGACCCATGTAACATGACCCAAACCTTGACCCATGTAACATGACCCACACCTTGACCCATGTAACAAGACCCACACCTTGACCCATCCAACATGACCCACACCTTGACCCATGTAACATGACCCACACCTTGACCCATGTAACATGACCCACACCTTGACCCATGTAACATGACCCACACCTTGACCCATGTAACATGACCCACACCTTGACCCATCCAACATGACCCACACCTTGACCCATGTAACATGACCCACACCTTGACCCATCCAACATGACCCACACCTTGACCCATGTAACATGACCCACACCTTGACCCATGTAACATGACCCACACCTTGACCCATGACGTCCCAACATGACCCACACCTTGACCCATGACGTCCCAACATGACCCACACCTTGACCCATGTAACATGACCCACACCTTGACCCATGCAACATGACCCACACCTTGACCCATGTAACATGACCCACACCTTGACCCATGTAACATGACCCACACCTTGACCCATGTAACATGACCCACACCTTGACCCATGTAACATGACCCACACCTTGACCCATGTAACATGACCCACACCTTGACCCATGTAACATGACCCACACCGTGACCCATGTAACATGACCCACACCTTGACCCATGTAACATGACCCACACCTTGACCCATCCAACATGACCCACACCTTGACCCATGACGTCCCAACATGACCCACACCGTGACCCATGTAACATGACCCACACCTTGACCCATGTAACATGACCCACACCTTGACCCATGTAACATGACCCACACCGTGACCCATGTAACATGACCCACACCTTGACCCATGTAACATGACCCACACCTTGACCCATGTAACATGACCCACACCTTGACCCATCCAACATGACCCACACCTTGACCCATGACGTCCCAACATGACCCACACCGTGACCCATGTAACATGACCCACACCTTGACCCATGTAACATGACCCACACCTTGACCCATGTAACATGACCCACACCTTGACCCAAGTAACATGACCCACACCTTGACCCATCCAACATGACCCACACCTTGACCCATGTAACATGACCCACACCTTGACCCATGTAACATGACCCACACCTTGACCCATGACGTCCCAACATGACCCACACCTTGACCCATGACGTCCCAACATGACCCACACCGTGACCCATGTAACATGACCCACACCTTGACCCATGTAACATGACCCACACCTTGACCCATGTAACATGACCCACACCTTGACCCATGACGTCCCAACATGACCCACACCTTGACCCATGACGTCCCAACATGACCCACACCGTGACCCATGTAACATGACCCACACCTTTACCCATGTAACATGACCCACACCGTGACCCATGTAACATGACCCACACCTTGACCCATGTAACATGACCCACACCTTGACCCATGTAACATGACCCACACCTTGACCCATGTAACATGACCCACACCTTGACCCATGTAACATGACCCACACCTTGACCCATGAAACATGACCCACACCTTGACCCATGTAACATGACCCACACCTTGACCCATGTAACATGACCCACACCTTGACCCATGCAACGTGACCCACACCTTGACCCATGTAACATGACCCACACCTTGACCCATGTAACATGACCCACACCTTGACCCATGTAACATGACCCACACCTTGACCCATGTAACATGACCCACACCTTGACCCATGTAACATGACCCACACCTTGACCCATGTAACATGACCCACACCTTGACCCATGACGTCCCAACATGACCCACACCTTGACCCATGTAACATGACCCACACCTTGACCCATGCAACATGACCCACACCTTGACCCATGTAACATGACCCACACCTTGACCCATGTAACATGACCCACACCTTGACCATCCAACATGACCCACACCTTGACCCATGTAACATGACCCACACCTTGACCCATCCAACATGACCCACACCTTGACCCATGTAACATGACCCACACCTTGACCCATGTAACATGACCCACACCTTGACCCATGTAACATGACCCACACCTTGACCCATCCAACATGACCCACACCTTGACCCATGTAACATGACCCACACCTTGACCCATGTAACATGACCCACACCTTGACCCATCCAACATGACCCACACCTTGACCCATGTAACATGACCCACACCTTGACCCATGTAACATGACCCACACCTTGACCCATGTAACATGACCCACACCTTGACCCATGTAACATGACCCACACCTTGACCCATGTAACATGACCCACACCTTGACCCATGTAACATGACCCACACCTTGACCCATGTAACATGACCCACACCTTGACCCATGTAACATGACCCACACCTTGACCCATGTAACATGACCCACACCTTGACCCATGTAACATGACCCTCACCTTGACCCATGTAACATGACCCACACCTTGACCCATGACGTCCCAACATGACCCACACCTTGACCCATGTAACATGACCCACACCTTGACCCATGTAACATGACCCACACCTTGACCCATGCAACATGACCCACACCTTGACCCATGTAACATGACCCACACCTTGACCCATGACGTCCCAACATGACCCACACCTTGACCCATGTAACATGACCCACACCTTGACCCATGTAACATGACCCACACCTTGACCCATGTAACATGACCCACACCTTGACCCATGCAACATGACCCACACCTTGACCCATGTAACATGACCCACACCTTGACCCATGTAACATGACCCACACCTTGACCCATGCAACGTGACCCACACCTTGACCCATGTAACATGACCCACACCTTGACCCATGTAACATGACCCACACCTTGACCCATGTAACATGACCCACACCTTGACCCATGTAACATGACCCACACCTTGACCCATGTAACATGACCCACACCTTGACCCATGTAACATGACCCACACCTTGACCCATGTAACATGACCCACACCTTGACCCATGTAACATGACCCACACCTTCACCCATGTAACATGACCCACACCTTGACCCATCCAACATGACCCACACCTTGACCCATGTAACATGACCCACACCTTGACCCATGTAACATGACCCACACCTTGACCCATGTAACATGACCCACACCTTGACCCATGTAACATGACCCACACCTTGACCCATGTAACATGACCCACACCTTGACCCATGTAACATGACCCACACCTTGACCCATGTAACATGACCCACACCTTGACCCATGACGTCCCAACATGACCCACACCTTGACCCATGTAACATGACCCACACCTTGACCCATGTAACATGACCCACACCTTGACCCATGTAACATGACCCACACCTTGACCCATGTAACATGACCCACACCTTGACCCATGTAACATGACCCACACCTTGACTCATGTAACATGACCCACACCTTGACCCATGACGTCCCAACATGACCCACACCTTGACCCATGTAACATGACCCACACCTTGACCCATGTAACATGACCCACACCTTGACCCATGTAACATGACCCACACCTTGACCCATGTAACATGACCCACACCTTGACCCATGTAACATGACCCACACCTTGACCCATGTAACATGACCCACACCTTGACCCATGTAACATGACCCACACCTTGACCCATGTAACATGACCCACACCTTGACCCATCCAACATGACCCACACCTTGACCCATCCAACATGACCCACACCTTGACCCATGTAACATGACCCACACCTTGACCCATGTAACATGACCCACACCTTGACCCATGTAACATGACCCACACCTTGACCCATGTAACATGATCCACACCTTGACCCATGTAACATGACCCACACCTTGACCCATGTAACATGACCCACACCTTGACCCATGTAACATGACCCACACCTTGACCCATGTAACATGACCCACACCTTGACCCATGACGTCCCAACATGACCCACACCTTGACCCATGTAACATGACCCACACCATGACCCATCCAACATGACCCACACCTTGACCCATGTAACATGACCCACACCTTGACCCATCCAACATGACCCACACCTTGACCCATGTAACATGACCCACACCTTGACCCATGTAACATGACCCACACCTTGACCCATGACGTCCCAACATGACCCACACCTTGACCCATGTAACATGACCCACACCTTGACCCATGTAACATGACCCACACCTTGACCCATCCAACATGACCCACACCTTGACCCATGACGTCCCAACATGACCCACACCTTGACCCATGTAACATGACCCACACCTTGACCCATGCAACATGACCCACACCTTGATCCATGTAACATGACCCACACCTTGACCCATGTAACATGACCCAAACCTTGACCCATGTAACATGACCCACACCTTGACCCATGTAACATGACCCACACCTTGACCCATGTAACATGACCCACACCTTGACCCATGTAACATGACCCACACCTTGACCCACGTAACATGACCCACACCTTGACCCATGTAACATGACCCACACCTTGACCCATGTAACATGACCCACACCTTGACCCATGTAACATGACCCACACCTTGACCCATGTAACATGACCCACACCTTGACCCATGTAACATGACCCACACCTTGACCCATGACGTCCCAACATGACCCACACCTTGACCCATGTAACATGACCCACACCTTGACCCATGACGTCCCAACATGACCCACACCTTGACCCATGTAACATGACCCACACCTTGACCCATGACGTCCCAACATGACCCACACCTTGACCCATGACGTCCCAACATGACCCACACCTTGACCCATGACGTCCCAACATGACCCACACCGTGACCCATGCAATATGACCCGTAACTTGACCCATGCACCATGACCCACCTTTCTTGGCCGAGCCGAAGCCGTCGGTGACCGAGAGGCTCTGAATGTCGTAGGTCAGCTTGGTGTTGGCTAGCAGCTGACGGTCATGGTTGATCCTGTAGACAGCGAACCTGAAGGCGTTCTCTATGCTGGCGTGCTCGTCCCCCTCACCAAACAGACCACCTGGCGAGGCAGAGGGTGGAGGCATTTGGTTAAAAACACATGGCAGAGGTTGGAGGCATTTGGTTAAAAACACACAATAAGGCAGAGGTTGGAGGCATTTGGTTAAAAACACACAACAAGGCAGATGTAGTAGGCATTTGGTTAAAAACACATGGCAGATGTAGTAGGCATTTGGTTAAAAACACATGGCAGAGGTTGGAGGCATTTGGTTAAAAACACACAACAAGGCAGAGAAGTTGGAGGCATTTGGTTAAAAACACACAACAAGGCAGAGAGGTTGGAGGCATTTGGTTAAAAACACACAACAAGGCAGAGAGGTTGGAGGCATTTGGTTAAAAACACATGGTAAGGCAGAGGTTGGAGGCATTTGGTTAAAAACACATGGCGAGGCAGAAGTTGGAGGCATTTGGTTAAAAACACACAACACGGCAGAGGTAGGAGGCATTTGGTTAAAAACACACAACAAGGCAGATGTAGTAGGCATTTGGTTAAAAACACATGGCAGAGGTTGGAGGCATTTGGTTAAAAACACATGGCGCGACATAGGTTGGGGGCATTTGGTTAAAAACACTGGCTAATTGACCAGATTGTAAGACAAGTTGTTCAGTTTAGAAAGTTTACAGCAGTGTCTACACCAGTGTCTACATCAACGTCTACATTAATGTCTACATCAATTTCTACATCAGTGTCTACATCAGTGTCTACATCAACGTCTACATTAATGTCTACATCAGTTTCTACATCAGTGTCTACATCAGTGTCTACATTAATGTCTACATCAATTTCTACATCAGTGTCTACATTAATGTCTACATCAATTTCTACATCAGTGTCTACATCAGTGTCTACATTAATGTCTACATCAATTTCTACATCAGTGTCTACTTCAGTGTCTACATCAATGTCTACATCAGTTTCTACATCAGTGTCTACATCAGTGTCTACATTAATGTCTACATCAATTTCTACATCAGTGTCTACATTAATGTCTACATCAATTTCTTCATCAGTGTCTACATCAGTGTCTACATTAATGTCTACATCAGTGTCTACATCAGTGTCTACATCAATGTCTACATCAGTGTCTACATCAGTGTCTATATCAGTGTCTACATCAGTGTCTACATCAGTGTCTACATTAATGTCTACATGAATTTCTACATCAGTGTCTACATCAGTGTCTACATCAATGTCTACATCAGTGTCTACATCAGTGTCTACATCAGTGTCTACATCAGTGTCTACATCAGTGTCTACATCAATGTCTACATCAATGTCTACATCAGTGTCTACATCAGTGTCTACATCAGTGTCTACATCAGTGTCTACATTAATGTCTACATCAATTTCTACATCAGTGTCTACATCAGTGTCTACATCAATTTCTACATCAGTGATTCTTAACCTGGGTTTGATCCCAGGGGTTTGATAAGTTGGTTCCAGGGATTAGGCGCAGGTCAAGACACACACCCAACTCATAATTTATGATTCACGATCGGATTTTGTCAATGCGGCAATAGAACAAGTTTAAGGGGGTTCAGTGTATGAGCTTATGAAACGCGTGGGGTTCAGAGTCTACAAAAAGGTTAAGAACCACTGGTCTACATCTACGCTAACTTAGTTTTGTTCACTTCGTTCTTAAAATATGCATGTTCAAATACACGCTAGATGGTTTTGGATTATCAATACAAAATACCTCGGAATTATAACCTTGATTTTAAAAACCCGAGCCAGTTAAATAATTTTAAGAAAGGAGAAGACAAGAAAGAAAGAAACTGGCAGATCGTTAATTATCCAGCTCATGTGAATGGGATTTTTGAAATGGATGAAAGGAGCGTATTAAATTCAAACTTCAACAATTAACTGTGAGGATGGATGTCTGAATTAATCAACAGAATGCAGGTGGGGGGATGTATGAGGGGGGGGGGGGGATCTACACAAGACAACACAGCCTGGGGCAGTAGGGATCTGACTGGTGTTCTGATACCTAGGGGGAGGGACATTGGGAGCGAGGTTTGAAGAATTGGGGGGGGGGAGCTTTAAAAATCGGATACTCGATGTGGTGCCGGTTGTCAATGTGACTGGGTGGAGTCATGGAGTCATTGGTTGGCTGGGTGGAATCATGGGTTGGCTGGGTGGAGTCATTGGTTGGCTGGGTAGAGTCATGGGTTGGCTGGGTGGAGTCATGGAGTCATGGGTTGGCTGGGTGGAGTCATGGGTTGGCCGGGAGGAGTCATGGGTTGGCTTGGTGGAGTCATGTGTTGGCTGGGTGGAGGCTCCCCTACCACCCACCACCCACACGCACGTCCATATGTCAGCTGACCACACATATAGATGGGGGTCAGTACTTGTCAAACTTGTCAGTCATGACCCAGACAATACCTCACCACAGCTTGAGTTATTTAATGCCCTAATTTGTGCTAGGGTTTTTATTTGCTGTGTCGTTGGGTGTTAGGGTTAGTCACTAGCTGCGTTTTGGTGTGTTAGGGTTTTCATTTGCTGTGTCGTTGGTGTGTTAGGGTTTTTATTTGCTGTGTCGTTGGTGTGTTAGGGTTTTTATTTGCTGTGTCGTTGGTGTGTTAGGGTTTTTATTTGCTGTGTCGTTGGTGTGTTAGGGTTTTTATTTGCTGTGTCGTTGGTGTGTTAGGGTTAGCCAGCATCTCAAGATGAGACATTTGTTTCAGCGTACATATAGACAATTAAAATGATTTTGTCCAGCTGTAGTGTGTTTCTGTCAGTCAAGACACAGACCATACTTCACATCAGTTGAAGCTTTCTGTTACCCTAGCTATGTATTTGGATGTTAACAAACATCTCACTCTCCGCCACATTGAATTGACCAAACATTCTTTACACATCAACATTAGTGCTTGCAAAGATAGTACGTAATTATTTGTACAACACACTATATACATTGATGTTTGACGTGTTCAACACAGACCCTACACATGTGTGACGTCAACTACACACACCAACACATGTGTGACGTCAACTACATACACCAACACATATGTGACGTCAACTACATACACCAACACATGTGTGACGTCAACTACACACACCAACTCATGTGTGACGTCAACTACACACACCAACACATGTGTGACGTCAACTACACACACCAACACATGTGTGACGTCAACTACACACATCAACATATGTGTGACGTCAACTACACATCCAACACGCCAGTAATCACGCAGTAAATCACGCCACTCGATATAAATCAGTTGGAGGCCGGCAAGATTATTCAATTAGTGCAAGTCCTGGATGAAGAATGGGGGCTGGACCACACTAGCACTGCCCACTTGGACGGGGGTAGATTGAGCTGTTTGTCTCCAACACAAGCAATAAACCAGACTCGAAGATAGATCTTTACTTATTAGGTTGATACAAGGGTGGCAGGGGTGGCAGGGGTGAGGCTTGTTGGTCGTGATGGACGGCTGGGGAGGGGGGGGGGGGAGATGGGCGGGGACCATCGAGGGAAGGACGCCATTTTAATAGATATTAGTCGAGCGTTAGGTTTTGTAGACTCTTAGAGTATCGCTAGCTCTCGCATTTATTGCTAGCTCTCTCATTCTCGTATTTATTGCTAGCTCTCTCATTCTCGTATTTATTGCTAGCTCTCTCTCACTCTCGTATTTATTGCTAGCTCTCTCTCACTCTCGTATTTATTGCTAGCTCTCTCTCACTCTCGTATTTATTGCTAGCTCTCTCACTCTCGTATTTATTGCTAGCTCTTACTCTCGTATTTATTGCTAGCTCTCACTCTCGTATTTATTGCTAGCTCTCTCTCTCTCTCTCTCACTCTCGTATTTATTGCTAGCTCTCTCTCTCTCTCGTATTTATTGCTAGCTCTCTCTCACTCTCGTATTTATTGCTAGCTCTCTCACTCTCGTATTTATTGCTAGCTCTCTCACTCTCGTATTTATTGCTAGCTCTCTCACTCTCGTATTTATTGCTAGCTCTCTCACTCTCGTATTTATTGCTAGCTCTCTCACTCTCGTATGTATTGCTAGCTCTCTCACTCTCGTATGTATTGCTAGCTCTCTCACTCTCGTATTTATTGCTAGCTCTCTCACTCTCGTATTTATTGCTAGCTCTCTCACTCTCGTATTTATTGCTAGCTCTCTCACTCTCGTATTTATTGCTAGCTCTCTCACTCTCGTATTTATTGCTAGCTCTCTCACTCTCGTATTTATTGCTAGCTCTCTCACTCTCGTATTTATTGCTAGCTCTCTCACTCTCGTATGTATTGCTAGCTCTCTCACTCTCGTATGTATTGCTAGCTCTCTCACTCTCGTATTTATTGCTAGCTCTCTCACTCTCGTATTTATTGCTAGCTCTCTCACTCTCGTATTTATTGCTAGCTCTCTCACTCTCGTATTTATTGCTAGCTCTCTCACTCTCGTATTTATTGCTAGCTCTCTCACTCTCGTATTTATTGCTAGCTCTCTCACTCTCGTATTTATTGCTAGCTCTCTCACTCTCGTATTTATTGCTAGCTCTCTCACTCTCGTATTTATTGCTAGCTCTCTCACTCTCGTATTTATTGCTAGCTCTCTCACTCTCGTATTTATTGCTAGCTCTCTCACTCTCGTATGTATTGCTAGCTCTCTCACTCTCGTATTTATTGCTAGCTCTCTCACTCTCGTATTTATTGCTAGCTCTCTCACTCTCGTATTTATTGCTAGCTCTCTCACTCTCGTATTTATTGCTAGCTCTCTCACTCTCGTATGTATTGCTAGCTCTCTCACTCTCGTATTTATTGCTAGCTCTCTCACTCTCGTATTTATTGCTAGCTCTCTCACTCTCGTATTTATTGCTAGCTCTCTGACTCTCGTATTTATTGCTAGCTCTCTCACTCTCGTATTTATTGCTAGCTCTCTCACTCTCGTATTTATTGCTAGCTCTCTCACTCTCGTATGTATTGCTAGCTCTCTCACTCTCGTATTTATTGCTAGCTCTCTCACTCTCGTATTTATTGCTAGCTCTCTCAC